CAGGTGCGACAGTCAACATGTTTAACATGTGTATTTGTTTCACAGGAAATTCCTGATCGTTCAACTGTTTTATGTCGCTACAGAAAGACTTATGGTTGGAAGAATATGTCACACATATTCTGGGTAAACATATTCACTCATCAAGAAAATTAAAAGACATCAAGCCAAGAGAAGTAATATTTTAAAGAAGTGTTTGGGACAGCAATGGGCTTCAAAACTGCAGGCTAAGCCATCATGAAACAATACCCTTATCCACAAAGTAAAAAGTTATAGTTGCAAAAAAAATAATCCTTCACCCCACCCCCTAAAAAGCTATTGTGATGAAGCTGAACACACCACCTGTCATCGTCAGCCTTTTATTTCAGATTTTTTTGCACAAAACTGAACAAGGGACATAACTGTCCGTAATTCTGAATTTTTAAAACAGTTGTTTGTGGGAAATTAGATTTATTTCTGTACAATGTTTCATCTCTAACAGTGAGACATGATCATGTACAATGTTTCAAAACTTCATATTGTTCGTACGTTAAGTGAACACGGTCAAGTGTCTCTAAGTTTGTACTGATAGACAAGAGGGCAGACATTTAGTAAAGAAAGTCCACTATCAACTTTTGTCTGGGCGAAAAGCGGGATTTCACCGTCACTACTCCAAAGTGCGGATCATGTTTTTGGTGCAACAGGAGGCCAACCATGAAACTTCTGAACCACAATCCGAACACGCTACCACCAGGTCACGCCCGACACATCACCGTTAGCAAGATAATAAAGAAGGGATTTGGAGTTAGTAAAGGTTCACAAGCTTCCTGACAAATCTCCAATTTAGCTATTCACAAGAGAGATGGCGAAAGGAACTGAGATCACAACAATACTACTTGAAAACATGGTTATCTAAAATAATTTAAGGACCTATATTTGGTTACGCGTGGTCTTGAAAGTCCATGTCCACGTACGTTTGGCATTCTGTGGAAAGACGTCTATCGTAGACCTCATCATCTTTTGCAGGAGTTAGTTATACATGGAAATGTAGGGTTCGAGTAATAGTGTGAAATAATGACTATCAGCTTGAGTACGATCAATGATAGCGTAAGTGATCTCAACGATAGCACAGGAACATTGCTCTTACGAAGCGTGATTACTTAACTCTATATTACACTTGTACTACCCATTAGTGGTATAGGTCTATATACTCACGAATAATAACTATTATAGCTGATGTATGCCTACTAAGAACCTGTTCTACTTGTTATTAGTAGAAATGATTTCAACATACGTGTACTACCTGTTATTAGTAAACGTCTACTCTATACACGCACACTACTCAAACCAGTTCAGATATATTAAACCAGAAGCGCCGTTTCGCGAAAATTGTTGGAGGAGGAGACCAAGGAACCTCTAGTAGCGTTATAAATAACCTGTTGTCTATTCTCTGGCAAGAAAATAGCAGTTATTTTAACCATGTGCTTGGAATCGACTATTCTGCTACACGCTGTGTTGTTAAACTGCGAAATAGAAAATTATCCAATGTATAATATCCGTAAAGTAATAATTGTTTGTGCATAAAATTAAGTTAATCGACCTTAGAATATTGATTACTTTTGGGTGAAAAGATATTTGACGCAGCTGACAAATAAAACTGAAAACATTTGGAGAGGGGTACACATCCCCTTTAAATTAGGGCTCTCTATTACTTGAAAACAATTAACTGACTGCAAAGTTTACTCTACTGAACTGTGGCCCCAATATGTTAATCAAGAAAGGCTATTTTATATGTAAACCTTTTTCATTGCTTCCTTCGCAAGAACCATGAATGGATTCACAGTCCAGCCCGCTAAGGATAGAGCCACCCCCTGCCCATTTTCAAACTTTATGAATATATTAGTGATTTTATGATCATTATTAATTAATATATTGATCAAATTTGTTCTAAACAATTGTAGTAGGGGAAAAGAGTTCTATATGGCACCCCCACCCAAGAATTGTAG